AGCAAGATACGTATAAAAACTGAGCCGTATTGGGTCGGACTGTCCATACGGTATCTGTGACTGGACAAACGACATAACGGAATGGTCAGAGGTGTCGTTTTTCTGACACTTTTTGTTACCTGATTGAGTCTTCAGGTAAGAGAGAGCTTACGGCAATCCTATACGTGACGGCTTGTGAAAGTAAACATTTGTCATTTTGTTTTGCATAATTTTAATAAAGTGATAAAGACCTGAGTAAAAAGCCTATCATACTTTTTTATTGGTATATTACAAAGAATTTTAACATTGACAAAACACAGGTAACATTAAAGGTCCACTGAAGTGCCTTCAAATGTGCAGCTTTATTCTATGTGGTATACGTACAGCCTTATCATTTTCACAAATACATGCAGTAAAATAAATAGATATAAAATAACATTAAAGTATTCCTTATGAAAATGAACCGTGGTGTTTTGTACTACAACCAAAAAAAACAAAAACACAGCTACTATAGTTAAACCATAGTAAAAAAAATATTAACCATGGTTTTGCTACACTAACCATAGTTTAACCATGGTATTTGTAGTAAAACTGTGGTTATAGGCTACAATTGGTAATAAAAACTCTCAAAATACATGGTTAGCCTTCTACACATTTACTATAGTAAAACCATTGTTAATTTTCATAAAAGGATTGTTTATCTGTCTAAAACACATTTTGTCTTCAATTATTTTTTAATTTTTAATTTAATATGAATTAAATGTTTTAATAGGTTATGAGTATGACATTTATTTTGTTGTGATGTGAAAACAAGGAGGGTTAGACCTGGGTTGTGGTGCAGGGGGACGGGACTGTAATGACAGGTCATTACAGGGAAAGTAGTGTAGCCTATCTGGAGTGCATATGAATATTAAGCTTGATATGTTTCATTGTATATCCATAATTACTGTTCTCCTTGCTGGTGTTCTGATGATTTGTGCCACCCGCTCAGATTGTGCTACCTCCGTCTGTTAATCGGCAGTATATAAATATACAGATCGTTTTTTTTTTTAGCTTATTAGAGGTACAGAATGCCACACAGCAACTTTTCGGCATTTCACCAAGAAAAAATAATAGAAATCATAACAAAGAGTAAAGATCAAGCGCCTAACAGGGTCTCTGCGTGTTAATTTGAATGGTTTGTTTTCCCCCACGGCATAAATGGATATGACGTTTTCTGGGCGTTCCCAGCAATGCTGACCAAGTCTATGCGATATATGTGAAACCTAATAATTGGCAAGTCTCAAAACTATTTAAATTGAGATATTTTGAAATACTTTTGTATTTTAAAATATTTTAAATAAAAACATTATTGAAATTAAATAATAACATATCTGTAAAATAAAACATTAAAATATAATTTAATTTAAAATACAATTCAATAACGCATATCGATGTAAAAAAATATAATGCGAACATGCATGTTTATATGTGCATCATGCTGTATTAAAATGTAATTAAATATGAACGTTTCAGCAAAATAAATCAAATTTAGTAGGACAATATTAGCAATATTAGAAAATGAAATAAATTAAATTCAAATAAAAAAAAACTAAAAAAAGAAAGAAAAACAAAATCTACTAAAATAAAAATACAATAATAAAATAAAATACAATAAAATAAAATAAAATAAAAATCAGAGTAAAATGAATTACAGTACATACCGTATTGGCCCGAATATAAGACGACCCTGATTATAAGACGACCCCCCTTTTTCCAGATGTACCTTTTGGAAAAAGGCTTTTTAAAAACCAAATCTTGTTTTTTCTCAGTAAAACACATTATGTCTTCAATTCTTTTTTAATTTTTAATTTAATTTTTGTTTTGAAAGTATGGTAAAAAACTGGTAAAATGTACCAACAATCCCGCGTTTTTTCAGATGTATTTCCAAGAAAAAAACATTGTCTTATATTCGGTTCAATACGGTAATTCATTTATTAACCCCTGCAATAAAAATAGCATGAGTCTGTAAGAATGTTTATAGTAACAAAACAAAATATAATATAAAATAAAATAAAAAATAAAAATCCACAGAAAAAATTATCAAATAAAATAAATTAATATGTTAATACGTTATTAACCCACTCAATAAAAAATAGCATGGGTCTGTAAGAGTGTAGTGTGTGTGTGTGTGTGTGTGTGTGTGTGTGTGTGAGAGAGAGAGATTTTGTAAAATGTTCAAGACTGTCTGTCTGTGTACATGTGCATCATGTTTTATTAAAATTAAATTAAATATTACCATTTCGAAAAAATAAAAAATAAAATAATAAACAATATTGAAATAAAATAAAATAAAATCACCTGCACAATAGAAATATTATGGGCCTGTAAGAGCGCATATAGTGTGTTAAGTGCACTGTGTAAAGACAGATAAACATGCTTCAGTGTGCATCCTGCTTCACTAAAATGAAATTAAATATTAAAATTTCAGCAAAATTAAAATATTTACATTTGAGAAAAATCAAATGAAATAAAACGAACTAAAAAGAAATGTAATTAAAAAAAAAAAAATCTAAGTAAAATTATTACTTATTATTATTGGCCTGCTCAAAAAATTGGGTGGGTTTGTGACAGTGTATGTAGTATGTGTGTGTGAATGAGTACACTGCACCTGTCTGTCTTACAAAGAGCGATGAACATGTCTGTTTCCATGTGCAAACAGCTCCAAGCCATGTCAGCGAGAGTGATGGAACAGCAAAGTCGCGTAAGACACAGCACCTCCTCGTCTTATCGCAGAGCGACGTGCTTCTCTAATTAAGGGCAAGCCGGTCTAGTGCTGGTGCTATTTTTCAAAAACCACTTCTCTGATGCCTAAAGGGCCTCGGGGGAGACGCAGAGAACAGGAGCCTCTCCACCGGCAGATCATTGATTAAAAAGGCTTATGAACTTCCACCTGCGCTGCAGGAAAAGGAGGACAAACAGGACTCTCTGCTCTTTGTGCTCAAAAGGTTTTTGGAAGGAAATCCTCAGGCAAAAAATCTGCTCGAATGCGTGTTTCTTTCTGTCAGTTGAAAACAGTTGTTTAGCAGCAGTTTTGTCTCGTCTTTTCCATGCATTTCAAAGTTCTTCATTGTTTTTTATATGCTAAACAGTCAAAGCTCTGCAGCAATGATTCATTTAGCAGACAGACAAAATCTTACCTTGAAAAACCTTTTTGTTCTGTAGTTGCGTACTTTATGCTGCAGAAACATGCGTCAAACGCTGTAAAATGTCTCTTTGGGGCTGTATGGTCTGGGTTAAATGATTCATTCTTTTATGTGTTTTGTATACTTAAAGATGCCCATCTGTTTACATTTATTCTATGCCAGAGGCCTACTAGAGCTGCTTTCAAGATCATTATTTTGTTTGCTGAAGTGTGTTTCTGAGGTCTTGCACCTTAGGAAACTCCTACCCAAAGAAATCGATTTGAACAAGGGGAGGTTGAGCTTATGTATACGGCACCAGTTTAAACATGCATATAGACTAGAGCGAGAATGGAGTCAATTACTGAACACATCTACTGGCTTCTGTCAACATTGATTTGTTTTAGTCTAAGATCTCTGCCTTAGCGAGACTCTCTAATTGCACTGGCCCTAACCCTCTAATTACTCTGAGGCTGCAGCTATTCATTTCTTTGTTTACCACGCAAAGAAAAAAAGAACAAAAGACAGAAATATAGAGCAGAAGAAAGGAAGAAAGAATGAATAAACAAAATAGAAAGGGAAAGACCAAAAGAATAAGAATAAAATTATATAAAGGAAAATAAGAAAGAAAAGTGGAAAGAAATAAAATAACAAAAAGAATGATCGCAAAATAAAGAATGATCGAAATAATGAAAAAAGAACAAAAGAAAGAAATATAGAGTCAAAGAATGATGGAAAGAACTGAAGAAAGAAAATAAAGAATGAACAAAAGAAATAATGGAAGAAAAAAAATTAAATAACAGAATGGACAAAACAAAGAAAAGTCAAAATAAAGAATAAAAGAAAATGAAAAATAAAGGAATGTGCAAAAGAAAGAAACAAAAATAATAGAATGAAAAACAAACAGAAAAAGCAAAAATGAAAGAGCAGGAGGCGGCAAAAGAAGGAAAAATAATGAAGAAAAAATATCAAAAGAATGAAAGAACAAAAACAAAAATAAATTGAGAAAAACAATGAGATTAAAAAAGAAATAAAAGGAAAGAAAAAGGAAAAATATAACAAAAATAAATTAAATAAACTAAAGGAATAAAGTAATTAATGAAAAAAGAAGGAAAGACAGAATGGAAGAAAGAACAAATTAAAGAATGATATAAAGAAAGAATGGAAGAAAAATAACAAATGAAAGCAGGAAAGAATACAAAAAAAATACAGTGACAAAGAAAGAACATAAGAAAGACATAACTGAAAAAGAAAATAAAAATGAAAAGACTAAGAAAAAGAACAAAAAAAATTAAAGAAAAGAAAGAGAAAACAAAAGACATGTATAGGAATATAAAGAACAAATTAGAAAGAATGGAAAATTAAAGAATGAAAGAGAAGGGCTAAAGAAGGAAAGAAAAAAATAACAAAACTATTAAAAATGAAAGACAGGAATAAAAGAACAAAGAAAATAACAAAAGAATGAAGCAGAGTAAAAATCAAACAAATAAACAAACCCAAGTAAGCTCTCTGAAAGCATTTCAGGTCAAACTTCAGTTTGGCAACCAATTCTCACTATTAACTATGACTTTTGCCTCAATAAACGCCTAATTTGATGCTTATTAATAGTTAGTAAGGTAGTTGTTAAGTTTAGATATAGGGTAGGATTAAGGGATGTAAAAATGGTCATGCGGAACAAGGCATTAAGGCTTTATAAGCACTAATAAAGAGGCAATATGCTAGTAATATGCATGCTAATAAGCAACTAGTTAATAGTAAGAATTGGTACCTAAACTAGTGTTACTGCATTTCGTATCTTTCATGTTGTAAACAGGCCTTTAGATTTACATATCAACAGAACACAACTGAAGAGCGATTTACCTGAAGTTCTGGAGGGGCTGTTTTCACTCCCAGCCACAGTTGTGTCTTTCTCTGGCTTTCCTGTGGTCTGGGATGAAGGTTCCTCTGTTGGAACTGCTTCAGATGTTATCCAGCCCTGAGCCAACACAAATGACTCCGACCCTCCTGACCTGGACTCAGCCTGCTGGGAAGTGTCCTTTGGACCTGGACTAGTCGGCAGAACCGTAGGTCCAGCTTGCATCATTATTATGGTAGGAACCGGTGGTTGTGGAGTATCTACCTCCTCTTGAACCACAGGTAACCACGTGCTGGAAACGGCTGGATCTGGAGTACACAAAATGTCTTCGGTAGTGGTTTCTTCTCCAGGTTGGGAAGGAGTGATTCCTACGGTTGGTGGTTGAATTGCTAGCTTGTCCTCGTTGGGATCTCCAGGGCTTGGTGTGGTAGGTGTGTTGGAAGTGTGTGTTTCCGGTGCAATAGTCAACCCTAGGTCTTGCTTCCGTTTGACAAAAGGCACACTGACTTTATTAGAGGGATTGTTCTTGTGTTTTTCAATGGGGCGATGGACGTACATGATTTCCCCCCTGGCTTCCTCAACCGTGTCGAATGGTTTCTCATGCTTGGGTTCTCTAGTAGGTTGAGTCGTCTGGAGACTCATAAGCTGCCATCTGACAGTGGTCTCCAGCGGGACTCTGTGGTCATCGGATCCATTCATTTGGTGGTCAAGGGTGAACGGTAACTCCTTCCCTCCACTTCCCTCACCATCTTTTTCTTCCTCTGCAGATAACGGTGACAGAGGACCTTTGGGAATAGGGTAACCATCCTCGTTCAAGTCTTTCCCTTCCCCGGAGAAGTTCTCAGGGTTGTTCCTGGAAACAGGAATGGTCATGATCTCCAAACTGGCTCTTTTGGCTTCCATGGGACTGCTTGTTTGAGTTATGAAATGCCTATTATTGCTTGGGGCAACTTTCAAGGTCTTTAGCGGCAAAATCTGTTGGCTGCTCCTCATGGAACCGAAGCTTTTAAATGCCGAAGAAAGAGTCGGATCCGCCGTTCCTGATCTAATAGCTCCTGCAGAGATGACAAAACACTGTGATTAACGGAGCGAGGGAGGAGATCGTTTCATTTAAATGTATGTATAATTAGCGAGCAAAATATGCTAACTCCCGCCCCAGAACTATGGTAATTAACTTTAATGTGTGCGGCTCGATATAGAACTGTCATTATTTATCCGTCAATGCCCTGGAGATATCCAGCAATTAATCTATCGGTCTCAACACACCTATCTTTTAATCAAACCCCTGTTTCAAAGGAAAAATGAGCTACAAACGTAGCTAAAATGACCTTTATTTTCTTCCCAAAGGGTAATATTTGACTCCCGGGTGAAACGGGGATGAAATGTACATTCGTTTTGAAAGCAATCCAGGTAATAAGGCTCTTTTTCTTTATGTTGCCCCGGCACAAAGAACTCGTACATCATGCTCCTGTCTGGTGCCGTTAATTCCCAATGCTTTCTAACAGTAAATCTAGACAAAATAAGACCCAAATCTTTATGTTCAAGAAGCAAAAAGGTCTTGATTTTCATCATGATGTATGTAGGTATTAATTCAGAGCACAATAAAGTAAAAACACCGTAAGCACTAGACTTATTATTATTAAGTGACTCAGCATACTGCAGTACACGGTGCTAAACCAAATCCTAAACAAAGGTTTCACTGGCTATGTGGAAGTACTGCGTTTGATACAGTATTTGGTTTAGCTTAAGTATTTACTGTGTGCATGGATAATTCATATATCTGCTCAGGTAACATGCTTTGCCTTAAAGGAAACAAGCAGTGTTTAGCATTTAGGCCATTTTAGATATTCACAGACCATATGTTCGGTACACACAATGAAATATGAAACAATAATGAATTATTCAAGACTCTGCTGTTGCGGTGTCACATGGATGTGGTGCAATTTACATAGCCAAGTAATTGAGCAATTAATAATATGAATAACTGATTACTCTCTGCAGTCAAAGGAAATTAAATATATTCTACCAATTACCTGGATGTACTGTAATAGTGGGACAATTACCCACATAATGTAAAGTATTTGGAGCAAGATCAAACCAAGTGGCATCTGCACGCAAAAGCTGTGAGGGATTTTTTTTATCAGAGTGTCTATTTACACTAAGTGCAAATAGCCCGCCTTGTTGGCAGAGGCTATTTACACTAACTCCACCCACCAGCGTGTGATTGGGATAGTCAACACTGAGAAAGAACGCTCCTTAAACATCACTTTCAGTGGCGTAGATGGTAAGGTGCATGCTTTTTGAAGCGATCGAACCCGGCAACCCTCCTTTTGCCAAACATTTTTTCTCCCTTTTCAAATCTCATATCGCATCGGAAAGGCATTTATTTTCAATAAAAATTAAGGAAATAATAAAAAAGTTGAAAATAAAAGTATCGGGTAGGTTTAGGGTAGGTGTAGGGAGGGCTTTATTGTCCCAATAAGGTGGCATTAATTTAATAATTTGAATTAAAATGATAATTTACACTAAATACGTTATTATTGGGTTCTGTTTTATAATGTACTACAATACTGAGGTGCAGATAATTGCCACTATTAGCAATAAGTAGTATAAATAGCAGAAAATCTTGCAATTTTTAACATAGTGTAAATAGAATCTATAGCGATTTGCACAGTGTAAATAGCATATCGTTAAAATACTGCTATTTTCACTTAGTGTTAATAGCATCCATTGCTATTTACACTTAGTGCAAATAGCTGCTGCCTTTTTTATATCCATTTTTGCGATTACTTTTAAGCAGCTAGTGTCAAGGTGGTTTTTAGTCTGGGTGACACAAAGTTGCATTTTGTGATATATAGTTCCAAATATGAATAGTCATAACTGTAAGCTACTAAGTTGCAACTGTAAGATACAAAGTCACACTTATGAGATAAAAAGTTGTAACTGTGAGACATGCATTTGCAACTGGGAGAAAAAAAAATCCAAACTGGGAGATGCAAAATCCCAATTTTGAAAGTTTAAATGTGAGACAGTCACAACCAAGAGGCATACATTTGCAATTGGTAGATGTAAAGTCGAAATTCTGAGATATAAAGTCGCATTCAGAAGAAGTCGCAATTATAAAATATCCCAATTGGAATAATAAGTTGCAATTGTAAGATATAACGTTGCATTTAGAAGATGTTGCAACTGGGGAAAAAGTTTCAATAATGAGATATAAAGTTGGAATTGTAACAAAAAGTCACAATTGCGAGATATAATGTTGCAATTGGAAGACAAGTATTGCATTCGGGAGATTCCGAATTATAAAACAAAAAGTCGCACTTTGGAGATATAATGTTGCAGTTAGAAGAATATGAGATATAAAATCAAAACTGTCAGATATAATATCACAATTGGGATAAAAGAGTCACAATTGTGAGATATAACATTGCATTCAGAAGAAGATGTTGTAATTAGGAAAATAAGTTGCAATAATGAGATTTAAAGTCTCAATATTGAAAAAAGTCACAATCATTAGATAAAATGTTGCGTTGGAAAAAAGGCACAATTATGAGATATAAAGTCAAAACTGGGAGATATAAAGTCGCAATTGTGAGAAAATGTCGAAATTGTGAGAATAGTGATAATTGTTAGACAAATTATAAGACAAAAAGTCACAATTTGGAGATGCAATGTTGTAGTTAGAAGAACTAAACTTGCAATTCTGAGATATAAAGTGGCATTTAGAAACAAATCAGTCAGGAGAGTAGATAATATAAAGAAATATTAATTGAAAAATGTGATATAAGGTTTGTGATATACATAAATTCTCAATTATAAGACAAAAAACACCAAATATGAGACAAAGTTACAATTGAGAGATTTTTTTTACTTTGAGGCAGAAACAGGGTTCCATAGTTTAGCTTTTTAGTTTAACATGTATAAAACATTTTTCTTTAGATTAACTGCAACTTGATTTGATATTTTGTATCTAATGCAATGACATTCATGCATTTTGTGGTTTAAGTATCCCCTTAAACAAGGTAAATAAAGCTTAAGTATCTGGACAAAACGGATACTTAAGCACATTGTTCTACGGCACGTATGCATTTCAGAGAATTTCTTCATAGCACATTTATTCGTATACAATATTTTGTGGAACTCAAAGACATGGTGAGTTTATATAAAAGATGGCAGGATTTTCTGAATTCTCAACAGGCTCTATGTAATGAAACTCGAAACAAGGGGAGAGACGGAGCAGCATGTAGCGAAGGGTGAAATAGCAAGTGAATCCGAACTCGACTAAATGACCTCTGCTGGAGGAAAAATGAACGGAAACAGCCAGATTGAGTCCGGAGTATCTTTACGCACACACTCCATGGCCCTGACGATGATCACGCCTCGTATAATTGGGAGAGACTTGGAATTTGTAGCGGTGCCTGCGGTTTTGGCCAAAGCACATTAATTAGATTCTGATGTAAATAATGCATGCTGACTAAATCTGGATTTTCACCCGGCATTAAACATTAATGTTCCCTGTTGAATTTGGTTTGCGGGGAGGATATTTGTACTGATGATGCCTTGAGAACGGACTGCTGCCAAAACCCATCGCGCTAAAACCACACCAGTTAGACATGCTTCATTCTCAGCCTAAGGCTCGCAACACTAAATTTTCAGAGGTTGGATCCCATTTTGCTTTCTCCTACTATGCTGCTTTACTTGGCACAGATATGACAGACATTGATATCCATTAAAAGCCCTAGAGCCGGAGGCAGGAATACATCTCAGTGCTGTGACCTCTACAGCGACCCTCCCACTTTTGTATTCCAGAGAACGAATGGTGTCGGCAACCTTCCTCTTCGGCGCCTGTGCCTGAAGAACCATTTGGTGCCATATTGTTTTTCTTTCAAAACAATGAAAAAACAAACAGCAAGCTGTTGGAGGACATAGTATGCCAAGGGCATTTATCTTTGCACCATATTTGATTTGCCGCACTGAAAGCCACACTATGAGGGTTAAAAGTACAGTCCATTCAGTGTTGAAATGTGTACTTGGATTCAGCTGAAGAAATAACAAAAAATATGTCCTTCCACTAATTTACAATGGATAAAACCTTTTTTTTATATACATGATTTTTTTTTCTCTGTTCACTTCCTTTCACTGGTGCTTCTTCAACCATGGGCACTTTTGGACATGAACAACTTTTCACACTTTATTTGTCCACTAACAAATATGCACCGTCTTGAAGTAATGCTGCCACAAATGAGATATAGACGTAATTCTCAAACCCAAAGAGATATTCTTAATAAAAGTTAAGACTCGTCCACGCCCTCCTAAAACGCCTCGTTCAAACATGCCCCCACATGTCTACGTCACGATGTGGGAAGATTTGCATAACGCCGCCCAAATGTTCACGCAAAGAAAGAAGGTATAACTTTATTGTTGCTGCCATGTTGTGAAGATGCTGTGTGTTTCATTGCGAAAGCAAAAATACTTTGTTTGGTCTTCCAAAAGAGGACACGACTAGAAATCAGTGGTTAAGTTGTATTTACAAAACTGTTCCAGAACAGGTCAACCCAGATATTCAGATGTGAGCAGCGCATTTTATGGAGGACTGTTTCCTGATCCTGGTAGAGTACACTACAATGCCGGCTGTTCTGACTCACAGACTGTAAGTACGTTTTTATATTTAAAGAATTTGCCACTGATGATTCAAACGCGAGTTTTGAGCAGTGTAGAGTAGCGCTTGTTGTTTGTCATTTCTCCGATCACAAATGCAGACATGGTTTTATGTTGCAGTGCAACGCGTAAAAAGACAGTATAAGTCATTATAATCCATAATTATATCCCCACTGGATGCAACAAATGCCTAGTTTATAATGGGTTTTAATGTTTTTGTCTCGTTGCACCGGGACACGGCATCACAGTATGGTAAGGGGCATAACATTTCCATCACACGCTTGAGGTATTCGGCCAATCACAACGCACTGGATAGCTGGCCAATCAGAGCACACCTCGCTTTTCAGAAAGATGAGCGTTGTAAAAATCGACGCGTTTCAGAAAGGCGGGGGATAGAGGAGAAACAATAATTCACAAATTACAGTATGTGGAAAATAATGTGTTTTTGAACCTTAAACCACATAAACACATTTAATTACACCAAATACACAAAATAATGTTCACCCATCTATTGACCAATAAACAGTAGATTGACCTCTTGGTTGAAAGATTGACTTCTTGGCCAAAAATCTATAATAGAGGAAACTCACTTTTGTGGTTTCACATCACCCAGTTCTACATAAACCAAGTATAAAATAATACAAAATGTAATCAAGTCCTACTTCAACTAAATTAAGCACGAGCTTCACCTACTTCACAAACTTCAATTAAGAAGAGGAGCTGCAGGGTCTAGTGTAATTGTACATGCTTAATATTCTATTAAGCTTTGGACGAGTGTGTTGTACCTTTGGTTGGTCCAGTGAAGCTGTCTGTGAAGGTCTGTGAATATGGATTATCCATATTAGAATTGCTTGGACTCTTTATCTCCTGCTGTGCAGCCACCAAGACCACTTCTTTCTCCTGTTCCAAGAGTTCTTCTTCTGGATCTGACGAGGAGGGATTATATGAATATTCCTTGATATTAGGTTCCACAATGGCGTTATCAGCACCAACTTTGCTTGTTTTCTCTCTACTTGGCTTCGTCCTGGCAGGTGGGACCATTTCTGAGGTTCCTCTGTAGAGGCTGGACTCTGTGGCCGGTATCGCAGGTTCCCCAGTCCCGGTCCAGTACCTAAATGGCTTCATTATTGTGTTCACAAAGTTGGAAATGACGCTGTTGCTGGTCTGAGCTTGCGTAGAGGAAGATGGCGTGGTTGAAGACGGGTCAGGAGACACATCGGGACCATCTGAATCATCGGGACCATATGAATCATTGGTCTCCTCTTTCGCCGAACCCCCTTGAAGGTTCTCCTGCTTCTCCACAGCATCGTCTTCCCATTCTACAGACCTTTCTTCAGGTCCAAGATGGATTACAACATGCTCCTCTGAGATTTCAGAAGATTCGTTGTTTATGATGGACTTGAAGTCTTCTTTCTCGAGATCGACCAGACCGGTCCAAGTTGAAGGTTCAGGGAAGGCTCCGTTTCTTTGGAGCGGCACCTCTTCTTTGCTTGAAGAGTTCAAATTGGAGTTTTCTATGGTTTTGTGGAGTATCACCGCCTGCTCTTCGAAATTCTTCTCTGAAAGAGGAAGATAGTCTCGGTAATGGTGGCATTGACAGATAAAACTACAAAGCAGATATCCATTCAGAAGTCCGTAATACGAATGTAACCTAATCCTCATTTCATACATTTTTCAGATACTCCTGACACAAGGGTGAATCTCTTGATAAATTATTCGGAAGTATGCTTCAAAATTATGTAGACGGGATGTAAGAGAATTTTATATGAAACTTCTCAAAGTAAAAAACGAAATCTCCAGCTCATCATTGAGGTTGAAACCCCCTAAAAAGATTAAAAGATCTTTGTATGAATATCTGCCTGTAGCAAAACAGAGAAAGGCCAGTAGTTCAACCAACCTTGATAGCAGTAGGCGTCAAAGAGGTCACTAGTGTCTGGGAACCCGGTGCGGTTGGGGTTGTGGTAAACGGTCCGTACTCCTGGTTCATCTCCTCCGCAGTTACGCCGGGGCAGGTTGATAGGGTAACGCACGCTGCCGTCAGCCAGCCAGCCGGGGTCGCAGCGGTCGAAGCCACCCTGCCAGGCCAGAAAGAGCTGCCCGACTGTGGCCAGCTGAGCTCCCAGAGTGTGGCAGTGAGTGGAAGCAGATGCCAGGCTCAACTTCTCCGGCACGCTGGTGTGAAACACGTCACCTAGAGAGAGCAAAGATGGATAGTGCGCGTTATTTATAAGTGCTAATTTCCCATAAGAATTCTGCTGTTTGCAAAATGAGACCTATAAAAAAACTTTATAAAGAAACTAAATTTAGTTATATATTCATAATATTGTTTAACACATCTACATCTGATTTGATTAAACTAAATTGTGACCACAATGTGACCATGACCATGTCGTGTGCCCGATTTAGTAAAGCAAAGGAACAAATTATTATTTTGTGTGCACAATTTAGTAAAATGAGGGAACGAATTATGTTTTTACACAATTTAGTAAAATGAACAAATTATTATATTGTGCACATGATTGATTTTTTTTTCTTGCATGTCATGTGTGGGGCTCCGAAAATTTTTGACTGTATTTCTATAAAATTGTTTTGGTGCAATTTTTTTAAGAAAATGAACAATGAAGGGCTTCTAAACGAAAATTATGTTTGATTATTTTCATGCTATAAAATAAAATAAAATAAAAACGTCTAAATTATGCAATATTTTTATCCAAATTTCATACATTTCAAAAAGTATTTTTTTGTAAAGCCTTGGATATATTTTAAAATCTTTTAATTGTGTACTTTGTACACATTACATCACATATCACATTCAATTGATGTACTTTGTGTATAATTTATGTTCCATACTTGTACCACTTGTATACTTGAAACTGTGCTTTCTTTTTTATCTTCCTTATTCTAAACGGGATGTTTGTCATGCATAAAAATAAAATAAAAGAAATATTAGACATTGTCAAGTTAAAAATAAAAAAATATAGCAATATTTAATGAAATATTAGAAACGGGGCTCCGAAAATTTTTGACTGTATTTCTATAAAATTGTTTTGGTGCGATTTTTTTAAGAAAATGAACAATGAAGGGCTTCTAAACGAAAATTATGTTTGATTATTTTCATGCTATAAAATAAAATAAAAACGTCTAAATTATGCAATATTTTTATCCAAATTTCATACATTTCAAAAAGTATTTTTTTGTAAAGCCTTGGATATATTTTAAAATCTTTTAATTGTGTACTTTGTACACATTACATCACATATCACATTCAATTGATGTACTTTGTGTATAATTTATGTTCCATACTTGTACCACTTGTATACTTGAAACTGTGCTTTCTTTTTTATCTTCCTTATTCTAAACGGGATGTTTGTCATGCATAAAAATAAAATAAAAGAAATATTAGACATTGTCAAGTTAAAAATAAAAAAATATAGCAATATTTAATGAAATATTAGAAATATACTAAATAAAATACTGAATATTTATCATAAAATCCTTATACTTCTGATCCAATTTCTGTTCATATACAGTAATATACAAGCACAAACTAACTAAAGTCCAGCCAAAGATGGATGGATGGATAGGCAAATAGATAAACACGCAAATAAATAGACAAATAAATAAACACGCAAATAAATAAAACATTTGATCAATTAAAACAAAAGTTCTGTAAAAATACATAAATGAATAAATTACACCAATATGACAGGCATTAAACTTTTAAGACATTCAGGAATACTAATTCACAGTAGGAGGCAGAACCATCACTCCTGCACGAAACAAATGGACGTGCACTTTTTTTTTTAAAAGAGCATGTTATAACTGTACCCGCTCTGGCATAAACCATAGGGCTGAGCTGAAAGCATGGTGACCTACTTAGATGTTCTGGGAGTTGGGACATGAGCAGGTACATGCATCTCTGTCATCTGAGGCTCACGAGGACATTTAAAGACACAAGTTTTTGGATGACTGAGCTGTAACTGAATGCATCTGCGGTACCTTGCAGGCCGTTGGCAAAGCAGTACACATCGAACATCTCATCGGGGTCTCGGCTGCCGTAGTTCCTCACGCCAGGTGAGTCCTCCCTGTCGCCAAAGCAGCCGGGCCGAGGCGACTGGATGGGATACCTGGGTAAGGAGCCAAAACAAACCAGGAGTCATTTCCAGGGAGGGAAGGAGTGAGTAAGATAAACTGTGCAATTACTGGAAAGTGCATCGATTTGGATGGCGCAGGGGTGCCGACTAAAGTCTGATTAAGAGATTATACACGGCACTCCAGGGTTTCCGAAGAGAAATAGCAGATAGGGGTTCTCGCGCAGCCCAAATATTGAAGTCAGTTATATAAAACCATTAAAGCAGCCCACATATATTCCATCCCAGTCCAGAGATCTCTGATGTCTCCATACGCTTGCGCTAATTGCACATTTGCGTCTTCACTGATGTGTAGCCAAGCTTCTCTGGAGATGGCCCAATTAGAGCTCTTCCATGCAGGGAGGGAAAAACCCGCTCACCCTTTTATTCGGTGAGGGCCGGGCCTCGCGGCTCAATTACGAGCTGACAATATGCGGTAGATATGAATGTTGAAATCAATAGCCGCCTGACATTCAGCCACGGAAAAGTGATTGGAGGTGGCAAGCCTGAAGAAACGGGGTTGTAATGCGGTCGATACATAATAGATATTACGATTAATTAGAACGGCTGATTATTAAATTGCTTTGAGTCCCGGATTCCTTCTGAAGAAAGTCGCGCTATTCTGTTTCATGCAAGGGGGACCAATTTATCAGCACGGCAGCTAAAAATTTCATTCTGATCTACAAAGTGATAGTTTTATAAGTAACATTAAAAATAAGATTTAGAGATTCGCTGGGGAATAGAATTATGTAAACATGTTCAAAGACTTGTTTGCTCCCAAACATATGCTTGTTTCTGAGTTTGGTCCACAAAATTGAAGGACTCGAGAGAAAAGCAAAAGGTCTCTTAGTAAACCTTTACAGCATGTACTTTGTATACTAGTTTGTTATTGACCTGTAACTCTTGTAACTTGTAATTTTTTTCTTCATTGTTCTTGTCGTTAAACATACAAAAATTACTGGACATTTGTCCTTTAAAAAAAAATTTTTTAAATTAAATATTCTAAATATACTAAAATTATTGGTTTGTCATATTGAAATAAAATAAAACATTAAAATATTCAATAAAATGTTATAGATACACACAAATAAAACACTGGATGTTTGATAAGTTGAAAAGGAAATAAATAAAACTAAATATTAGAATATTCTATAAAATATTATTTATCAAGCCAATAAAATACTAGACATTTTTCAGGTTTAAAATAAAATAAAAAGACAAAGAATAGAAGACATTTACCATGTTAAAAATAAAACAAAAATATTAAATAAAATAAATATACTATACACACACACACACACACACACACACACACACACACGTATATTATTGCTGTCAAAATTACTGTTAAATTTACACAATCAAAAATACTGCACTTTTGTTCTGTTGAAAATACAATGAAATAAAATAAAATAGATGCTAGACATTTGTGACCCTGGAGCACAAAAGCAGTCTTAAGTCGCTGGGGTATATTTGTAGCAATAGCCAAAAATACATTGTATGGGTCAAAATTTTCGACTTTTCTTTTATGCCAAAAAATCATTAGAATATTAAGTAAAGAAAATTAATTTCCTACCATTCAAAACCTAATTTTTGATTAGTAATATGCATTGCTAAGAACTTCATTTGGACGACTTTAAATGCGATTTTCTCAATATTTCGATTTTTTTTGCACCCTCAGATTCCAGATTTTCAAATAGTTGTATTTCGGCCAAATATTGTCCAGTCCTAACAAACCATACATCAGTGGAAAGCATTTTTATTCAACTTTCAGCTGATGTATAAATTTCAAAAAATAGTCCCTTATGACTGGTTTTGTGGTCCATGGTCACATTTGTAATGCTGAAAATAAAATAAACATTAAAATGTTTAATAAAATATTATAAATACACTAAATATAACAGAACAGAATTACATAAACAAATCAAAGATGTCTTAAATGCTAAATATAATTTCCAAAAATGGACTAATCTCTTGTTCTGACCTCACAGTCTGGTCCGACAGCCAGCCGGCATCGCAGTTGTCGTAGCCGTCACCAAAAGTGGCCTGCAGCTGGGCTGGTGTGGCAATATTGGCAGAGTTCTTCAGACAAACTCTTTTGGCATCAGTGAAAGACAGCGCGTAGCGGTCGTGAGGCGCACGGTAGTGAAAGACCACTCCTGTTTGGGAAAAAGAAACAGAGTGCATGATGGGAACCATGCATAAACTATGTCCCAAATGAACAGCAATAATAATTGTTTAACTTAATAAATGAAACAATGCAGGCCCCTTGAAACGCTTTATTTCCTGAATTTCACTTCCATTCCTGTTCCTCAATCCTATGAGAAAAGCAAAAGACAGGAACACAGTACAAAAGAAGCGAAATCCCAGCACCAGTTCTTTGACCAGTCAGAGGACGGACTTCCAGTCCGATGTACAAAGAAATTAGATTCCTGGGATTGTTTTTGAACTGTCCATCTGTTATTCCCAGATCACATCGCTTTGGAGTCCCTTTGGTCCTCTACTCTACACTCCACGTCCATAACCTCCGCTGTCGGCTGCCATCCCGGGAGAACGCACAAACATGAAAGGGACAAAGGAAAATCCTCAAAGCTAGGTGGGCCAATTTATGGCGAAACACTTCAGACGACGTCTTAAGGGGGAAGATTTCAGTCTCCTGAGCAATACGGCTGTTTCTTACCCAACTGTGGCAGCTACGCCACTTCAAAGGGGCACGGGAGTAAGACGTCTCTTTCGGTTTTTATTTCCTTCCTTCCTTTTTTCGGCCTGCTTCTCTTTTTCACTTCCCATTGGAGTTTAGGACAGACTCGGAGCGTATAAAAATATTCACTGTCTGTGACAAACATCTGGGGATGAGATATGTGGGACTCTCGTCCACTGAGGGATGCCGCATCTTATTAGAAAAGAGGGTCAGAGTTTCCATATCTCATTTCCCCAAGACATAACCCGGGGAAGGTCAGATTTGTGGCCAGTTAGCTAACTGTTTTGTTGAATGTCTGTAACGTTCACATTATGCTTCAGTCTGAAATCCTAGCTACACTTTTTAAGCAATAGTTCACTCAAAAATACAGAAATGTAGCATTACATCTCTTGCTCACCAGTGGATCCTCTGCAGTGAATGGGTGCCATCAGAATGAGAGTCCAAACGGCTGATAAAAACATCTCAATAATCCACAAAACTCCAAGTCCATCAAATAATGTCTTGTGAAGTTGCGTGTTTGTAATAAACAAATCCATCAGTAAGGCATTTTAACTTTAAACCATCACTTCTGGCCAAAATACGAGTCCATAATCCATAATAACACCAGTGGGAAAGTCTGTTGTTCTCTCAAAATCAAAATCCACCAACATGTTTGTTTAGAACTGTTTTTGCTTGTAAATGGTGTTTGGTCTGTGCATATTTCTCTCTTGATTCAAATGAGATGACTTTTTCCACTGGAAAAAGCTATATTTTGAACAGAGGACTCATATTTTAGCTGGAAGCAACATTTTTATGTTAAAAACAATGATGGATTTGTTTATTACAGCTTTTCACTTCACAAGACATTAGCTGCTAGACTGTCGTATGGATTACTTGTGGATTATTGTAATGTTTTTATCAGCTGTTTGGACTCTCATTCTGACGGCACCCATTCACTGCAGAGGATCCATTGGTGAGCAAGTGATGTAATGCAACATTTCTCCAAATCTGTTCCGATGAAGAAACAAACTCATCTACATCTTAGATGGCCTGAGAGTCGATTTGCAGCAATTTTTAATTTTTAGGTGAAGTTTTCCTTTAAAAAACAAGATAAATAAATAAACAAACAAATAAATAAATAAACAGTTTCCAAATGGGGATTTTCGCAGTGATGCCGTAAAAGAACCATTTTTGGTTCCCCAAATGACCTTTCAATCAACAGTTCTTAAACCATTTTTATAGTGAAAAACATTTTATTAATCTAAATCTTTTTCCTGTATAAATAATCTTTAAAGGTTCCATGGATGTTAAAGGTTCTTCATGGAACCAAAAATGCCATTGAAGAACCTTTATTTTTACAGAAATGTTCTATTGTGTTAAACAGTGCAACGTTAGTTTAATTAAATACATAATTATGCAATTAATTTGTCTGCATCTGTGCATTTCACATGAATACAGAATTAAAAAAAAATATTAAGAATGTTTTCTGAGGAGGTTTTACTTAGTAACAGACTGTGGTCAAACTGCATGTTATTTTTGATTTGATATATTCCTGTAAATTGTCTCGACTCTTCGTTCCCTTCATTATCCAGTTTGTGTTCAAAAATACGTTGCTGTAACACAATAAGGTGTGAAAGCGTCTAAGGTTGGTGAATGCTTTAATTGGCAATGTTATTGCTATTTCCATAAAAGCTCCTAACAGTAATGGGAATTTTTCATGATACTGGCTGCCAGCATGTTTCAGTGCTTTAATTGCTGAGCTCAAACTAATTAACCATTCAGACATGCAGAGGAGGTTTCAGTACATGAGTATCCGCATGTATAATATTAATAATGCACTAGCATCTCATAATGCATTTTTTAAGAGTCACTCTCTCTTCAGAGAAGTAAAATTTTGTTCAAAGTTTTGCAATCAGAGATTATGACTTCATCATTATGGTCATACATTTGTTTCCCTATGCTGTTGGATGCTGTATAGGTTACGTTCACTGAAATCATGTTTATGTTTAACTTCATATTTTATTTCCTACCTATATAAATATTTCAATGCAATTATTTTTTTGTGTGTTTTTATAGATAGTTTGTGTTTACTCCTTACAATTATATATATACATGATTTTTAGGTTTTTATTTTCTATATTTTAATTTTCAAATGTATTTATTTTTCAGTTATATTTGTAATTTTTTTATGTGATAGTTTTTATATTATTTTTATTCCATACTTATTATTCTTTTATTTAGATTTTTTATTTTTGTATTTATTTACTATTATTTAATTTGCCATTTAATGTTTTATTTAAAAAAAATTTATATATTGATTTATTTTATTTTATTTAAATTTTTATATTATGACTATTATTTTGTTTTTAATATTGATTCCTTACTATACTAGAAATGTTCATAATTTACATATTTTTACAAATATATATATATATATATATATATATATTTTACATACATACATATATTTTTATTTTATTTATTTTTTTATTTAAAATGATATTTTTATATAAAAATGTTATTCATTTAAATATTCATATTATTATTATTACATATTATTATATTATTTTGTGATATTTTACATTATTTTTATAATGATGAATTATTATTATTTTTAATATGACTATTATTGTTTATTTATTACATTACATTTTATTGCAATATTACAATAGTACCGAATTTTGTTAACCTATAATAAACGTAATCTACTTTTGCGCTTAAAAGAATGGCATCGACTTAATAGCTGTGTCACTACTGCGGCACATTTAGCACCCGATTAAACCAGTTTGCTCAGTGAATAAGACAAGTTTTTTGCTCTGAATATCGTGTTGCGTGTAAAAATGTCACGACTGTTTGTTAAATTCGCCCCTTGAACATTTCCACTCCACAGAATCACATAAACGCAAGCACAATGCTGCATGTTGGCAGCGAATGAAGTCTAACTAACTTCATCAAGGTTTGGGCAGAAGTCTGAGCGTGCAAAAAATGTAGCAGCTGTTTGGTCCATGCCTCCGTGGTCTGATGGACTGTAATTACAGCCAGTTTTTCAGATTCAATAATGTATCAAGTCATTCAGCGAGAGCGATTCACCCAGAGGCCTGCAAAACCACTGAAAAGAGAAGTTAATCGCAATTTGCGCAAAACATAAACAATAAAGTTCACCCCAAAACGGAAATCCTATAAGTTGTTGTTTCAAACCTGTATGAGTTTCTTTCTTCAGCTGAACACAAAAGGTGATATTTTGAAGAACATTTTAACCAAACAATTTTTCTTCCATAGTATTTTTCTCCCTCATACTATGGAAGTCAGTGGGGACCATCAACTTTTCAGCTCTTCATAATACCTTATTTTGTGTTCAACAGAAGAAAGAAACTCATACAGGTTTGGAACAACTATCCCTTTAAGACGAAAGAAGTCAGCAGTAGCTTTATGATGAATCTGATTTCTATAATCACAGCTGCATGTATTAGCATTCTGCGGTGCGCTACATTACCCGTGACCTGAAGGGGCACTGTATCTTGTTCGTCGTTAATACCGACCACGACCTCACAGCGGTACATCCCAGAGTCGCTGGATCGCAGGCCTGTCAGCACCAGGCTGGCGTTGTAGCGGTTCTCCGGGTATCCCGGCAAGGTCACGCGGCCCTGGAAGACTTTCTTCACCTTGATTATATTGTCTTTAGCCACCAGAATCGACTGCTGCTTCTGTAGGCCATCCGGGCCGCGTTGACCCCACAGTTTGGTCCACTTGATGCGAGGGGGTTCGTTCGAAGGACTCGGGCGCAAGGTGAAAACACACGGCAGGAGGGCTGTACCTGACAGAGGCTCCTGAACCCGCTGGTGAGTCACCTTACGCATGTTCACCACAGTATCACAGCTCACCATGCCTGAGAACAGAGAAAGAAATGACAAAACTGATCAGGTTCACAACTAGTCTTGAGCATTTTAATGAAGTGTGTATCATAGTGTCTCAATTTCATTCAGAAGGTTAAGTTCCTTCTGATTTCAGTTGTATAAAGTAAGGTTTCTCTTCAGCTTATTGTGTTGCTTGAGATGTTTAGGGTTTTTTTTATTTGTATGATTTTTTATTTTATTTTGCTATTCTATTTAATTCAGTTTTTTGTTTCCTTTACTATATTTCCAAATTGTACAGCACTTTGGGACAACATTTGTTGTTTTTAAATGTGCTTTATAAACAGTGTTGGACAAGTTACTCTGAAAATGTAATCAAATTACTGATTACTGATTACTCCTTTTAAAAGTAATCACGTTACTGTTCTGATTATTTTATTTCAAAAGTAATTAGTAACATTACTAGTTACGTTACTTTTTTCTCCATGAAATTTATGAAATCCCAGCATACATGCTCCCCATAAATACTTGTTATTAAAGCATCAACATTCACAGAACACTGTTATTTTTAACTAAAGCAAGTGGCTGCTATGTGCATGGTTTGGATGGCAGAATGCCAGCAAAGAGCGCTGCATTTATAATCTCTAAAAGACATCTCAGTTCATCGCAATCTCACAAATCTCTGTTATAACACAATAAATATATGCATAATGAATCTTTCATAATGTCTACAATTCGTGTGTTATAATGAGAGGATTCGTGAGCACGGAAATTTCAGCACTGCATTGCTCAACGCTGCAAACACGTGTTATAGCCTAAATAGAAACTCTGCATACGCTTGCACCTGTTAATCGTTTACATTTTATATTAGTTCATGTTGCTTTTGTGCAATAGATGAATAACAATTTATTTGTTTTAGATATTTCATGTTTAGATATTTCTATTTTGCGGGAGTCCCGTGAATCATTTTATTCTCCCGTTATATTTTGAAAATTATAATGCGTTAAATTACTCCGTTACTAAAAAAGTAATCAAATTACAATAACGCGTTACTGCCCAACACTGATTATAAATTAACTTTAACTTGAAATAATCATTTCATATTTCAAAATACTGCAAAAAAAAAAGAAAAAAAAAATTTACTAATAAAGAGGCTACTACCATTTCTTCTTAAAAATAAAAATAGTTTTTAATATTACTTGGAATAATATTCAAATGAACTAGGCCTACTTTGTTCAGCCAATATGCAGTATTCAACAGAGCACAACATACTTCATTTTACTTACGAGGACTGAACCAGAAAATATTTTTAGAATTAAAATTTGTATTGCTTATTTATCAAATTATGTGAATATATTAGGGCTGTGAAATCGATTAATCACATACAACATAAAAGATTGTGTTTACATAATATATGTGCATGTACTGTATATATTTATGTGTGTGTGTGTGTGTGTGTGTGTGTATATACACACACACACACACACACACACACACGTGTATATTTGAGAAATAGTTACATGTATATACAGTATATATATATTCATGTATAACATAAATCATACATAAATACACACACATACATGTTCACACATATTATGTAAACATAAACTATTATTTTAACTATTTATATATTTAGAGCCCGACCGATATGGGTTTTTTGGGGCTGATACCGATACCGATATTAGGGAGTAAAAAAAGGCCGATACCGATATATCGGCCGATATTCTTTGTGTCCGTCCCAAGCATGGTTGCAATGTGTTCATTGTCAAACTCCAGATTATTTTTAATTCTTAAAAAACACCATTATTTTAATTGAACAAAAATTTTTTTTTTAGTTTGTCTTGTATATTTTTTTCATTCGATCAGATAAGATTTTAAGCTGTCATATGGTCAAGTTACAACGTGCCCCTCAGATGTTACAATGTGTTCCACCTACGGGGCATGTTGTCACATTTCACTTCCATTTTTTGAGGGTAAATAAAGAAAAACATATACACTGTAATTATGAAACAAAGCGACATATTTGAACTAGACAAGTGTAAAATTACCGTGGATAAAAAATATATATATTCTGAACCCCATGTGGATTTACACAAACTGAGAATGTCAAAAAGTGTTACTTTGTGCCCCACTCTCCCCTACCTCTGTGAATAAATACAATATAAATTCACGTTTCGCACACTTTAATGCCCTTTGAATGTAACGTTCAGCTCGAGGAGCCCTCTCGAAAGCTACCCTCCGCGTGTCGGTAGCCCCCCGGGATCGCTAGATCGGTCGGCGCCGGTCCGCAAATTTAACCACCCGTAACTCCCGAACCCCGGGGGCTATCCACGAGGGGGTGGTCTCATTCGAAAGAGGGCCTCGAGACGTACACTCGATTCACGTTCAAGAGGGTTCCTTGAGCTGAAGAGATCTCCCGAATTTGGTGCAGATTCGCCGCGCCGTTACGGAGATATGGCCGTTCAAAGTTTCAATGGTTTTCCATTGACTTAAGCTTTAAAGCATTTCATCCAGGTCGCCAGTAGCAAACAATGGAGCGCGCTCTGCTGGACAAACTAAGTAATTACACCATTTCAAGCATTTTATCTGCATTACATATTCTGTAAAAAAAATTCATATTGGCGACATATTCGCCAATACCGATATATCGGCGACAGGCTCATATCGGCCGATAATATCGGCAAAACGATATATCGGTTGGGCTCTAATAATTATATTAATTTATTAAATTGAACTATGAAAAAACTATTTTTTTCCATATAATAAAACACTAAATAAATGTATTAATTTTAAACATAACTTGACTTTACTTGCTGAATGAATATGCAACATGATGATGAATGAACCAGAAGAAACATCTTTTTCTAGACTCAATCTTTGTCGCCATCTCTGTTTGAAAACCTGGAATTGCAGCTGTTAGCGGATTTTTCTTCCTTGCTGGGTTTTGAGTCGGCACGGCTCTAGCGCAGATGAATCTAATGTTCTGAGGAGTATGTGTGGCAGTCAGTCACTGCACCGGTGTGGATATTTACTGTACTTCGCAATCACAGATTCTAACCTATGTCTTGCAATATGACCCAAATAAGAATTTTCACTGTATATTGCCATCTGAACAAGTAAGTAACAAGTCTGCCACATTTGTTCTGACCAACTGAGGAAAAAAGCATTACCACAAATAAAGATGCACCGATACCACTTTTTCCAGTACTCGCCCGATACCGATACTTTTATTTTTGGTACTTGCCGATACCGAGTACCGGTAAAAGTTATTTGTACATTTTTTAAATATTGGGTTTACAGAAACCAAAAGGGTATGTATAATGTTAGTTGGTTACAGTCAAACCAAAATTTATTCAGACACCTTCAACATTTCTCACATTATATTCACTATAGTTTAGAAAATGGTAATAAAATATGACAAGAACTCAGAATTACACTGTGTCAGAACAAATTAATCTTGATAATGTTAGATAATTTTGATAGAAAGGTATGTAATAGATTACAATCAACCAAAATTTCATCATCTTTAATTTAATAGCATTAGAGCTGCTCCATTGCAGTGGCTTAGTACTTTAATCACGCGCTTTGCTGTAATAATGCAGGGAACCACTCGTTATAAATCTCCTAACAGTGATATTTTCAGAAATAGAAGTTGCGTTTTCTCATCTGAAACGTGCTGCGATTTATGTTCCAAAGCCACTCATATAATGCAGAAACACTCAAGCAAGCAAAACACGCACAATGCGTGCACGTATTTGTACTGATGCAGAATGAGAGGGACAAGTACAGTACAGCCTAGTGCATTTCACACAGGCTGCTAGTTTCACTTTCGCCAGAAAGTCGTGTATGCCTAAGGTTGAAAATAAATGATGTTTATAGTGAATGCCCCATGAATGGTTTTATTTTTACGATTTCGTTTTAATCCAAATGATGCGTGTGCTGAGTGAGTGAACATCAAAGATCACACAACAGAATTGCACGCGCTCTCTCCATCTCTCTCTCTTTCCCTCCCTCCCTACCGTTAAGTAACTTGTGCATTGTTTCTTACTTGTTTTTGACATATCCGACCGAACTACAAACTTTCCAGTGATGTCTGTGAGAAAGATATATTCACTCGACAAGCTCGCACATCTGCGCCGTCGCGCGCTCAATCCAATCAGTGTGCTTTGCTCGCGCACATCAGCTATACAGGCGTTAATACTGAATGTTTAACATTATATTCATTGCATACATATACTTCGTAGTAGACATCCTTAACACCTTTCTGCTGTCTGTTGTTCTGTTGTCGGTGTTTCTTTGTTTGAATATGGCGCTTATCACATGCTGTGTGGTATCGGCGTTTGGTATCGGGGGAATTTTAACGAGTACGAGTACGAGTACAGGAGACCAGTATCGGTGCATCCCTAACCATAAATCTCGCTACAATGGTGATTAAATCTAAAGATCGGTTAGCTCATATCACATCAAACCGTTCAAATTATTATTTTTGTTATACTTTATTCTCAAATGATTAATGTTAACAACATCAGCATGTTTACTATGAGTATAGTGTGTATAAGCGAGTAGATTTCAATTTCTGCACAGTCAAATCTAATTGTCATACTTAAGAAATTATTTTAACCCAAAAAGCAAATTATGCTCCCTTCAAACTGGTTTTCTTTAAAATGCAAATCTTTGTAATCCCAGGCTATCTGTAATCAGAAGCACATTTATAACTGGAATATAATTTAATTTCATTCACATGTGTTTCATAAACACATAATCCTTTATGGATTACAATCCGCCATCAAAATTATACATTTAATTATCCCAGCTGCTGTGAGAAAAGGCTATAAACGATCGGCCACCTGCAGGATCTGCACATGCGATAGCCTATAAGCCGGAACAACTTCTTTATGTTTATAGACCTGACGTTATGACGCAGTGCCATGCTTGAATTTCCCACGAAAACCTACCCGTATCACTCAAATTAGAAAACATTATTATAAACTAACCGTTGTGAATCGGGCTAAAGTAAGTAGGTCAGAACACT